TATTAATTAGGGTTGGCTTCCGAGTTGCGCATATTGTGGTAGGCGGGGAAACTAAAATTTCCCATCAAGTGGTATTAGAGCGATGATGATGGATCCGGGAGCGAGTTTGTAAGATAGAAGACGACGCCGTGCAAGATTGAAAATCAACACTACAAGAATAAAAAAATAGGAAAAAGGGAAATATTACTGTAGCAGAACACTATAACGTGGTGGGCACTATTCACATGGGGATCCGACGGTCCAGATTGATTTGTTAGCCGATTGAGGATTTGGAGGCGGATTTTGGTGATCCAGGAGTCGTTCTTAGAGTTTTTCGATGTGCTGAGTTCGTTTTTGGCATCAGTTTCATCAAATTCAAACTCTACGGTGACTGATTTGAATTTTGATTAGAGAATGATGACTTCTTCAGGTCCGAAGTTTGATATTCCGCTATTTAACGGCAAGACAAATCTGATGGTAGATAAGGAGCATGAATTAGTTGGTGTGTATACTTGAGGAGGACTGTGCCAGATTAGGTGGAGCTTGCAAGTGAGCACGACCGAGTGACACACATGGAGATGAAGATGGTGGCATTGGACTTGAAGATGGTGATCGTTCATATTCAGTCCACAAGCCAAGTGATGGAGGAGATAAAGGCATCCGGCTAGTAGTGTAGAATAGGAGAGGTGCATTGATATGATTTGACATGAGCGATGCAGGTGGAGTACGAGGATAACAAGTGGGGGAAGACTACTATGAAGTTCGGTTTGGGAGGAGAAGTGCGGTTGATTTGCTTCTAATGCCAGAGGTGGCAAAGATCTCTTGGCCCACACAAGAGAGGTGGAGGTGCCACGGCGAAGCAAAAGATAGTGAGGATCATAAAAGCATCCAATTGGGAGTGCATGTGTTCTAATTTGAAGTACGAAAGAAATAAAAGACTCTAGCGGGAGAGACAAAGTTTCAAGACGATGATGATATATCTTCAAGGGAGTTTGAGAATTAAATCCAAGGTGGAGATTGTTGGGATTTTATCTTTGATTATTTGTGTAACTTCATGAGAATTAGATAGGGTTAGAGTTCTATCATGATTAGGAGTTTGAGTTCTATCATGAATTAGATAGGGTTAGAGTTCTATCATGATTAGGAGTTTGAGTTCTATCATGATTAGGAGTTTGGGTTCTATCATGATTAGGAGTTTTTCTATCATGATTAGGAGTTTGAGTTCTATCATGATTAGGAGTTTGGGTTCTATCATGATTAGGAGTTTAAGTTTTATCAAGATTAGGAGTTTGAATCATATTCTAATTAGGAAGTTAGGCTAGAGATAGAGTTTTGATTTTTCTATATATATTCTTCTATTGGTGGAGGAAAAACCATGAAGAAAAAGTTAAGATGTAGTAAATGAGAGATAGAGGGGGTTTCGTAGTCTTTATCCGTGTAAAAGATTACAAGGAGTGGGCTTTGAAGAGAATATGAGAGTTGTTATGTATGTGAGGTTGAGAGATTGAGAGACGAGAGTTGAGTGGTTCCTCTTGTAGTTATCCCTGATACATAATGAATTTCTCGTATTGTTGCCCCGTGAACGTAGGTCGAAGTTGGTCGACTGAACCACGTAAATCCCGGTGTTCTTTTTCTTGATTATGGTTATTCCATCTTATTGATTGGGGTTGGCTTTCGAGTTGCGCATATCGTGATAGGCGGGGAGGCTGGAATTCCCCAACAGTCCTGGGATATAATAGTATCAGAGACATGGTGAGTTTATTTATTGATAGGAACTTATTTTGTTCAATTTATTATTAATACCTCTAATATCTACGCCATATTTGGTAACTAATAGTTATAAGGTGGTGGAGAATTGAGACATAACACGAACATCTACGATTGCCCTTCTACCCATCAGTCATGATTTTTGCTTAAGTTTAAACCTAGAATTCGCAATTTCTCTATTATTGAGTGGAAAAGCCAACATAAACAGATGTAAATATGTCATCATAAGATAATTCAACATTGCTCATTAGCAAATTCATCAATATATCAACACTACCGAACATAATTAGCCCTAACATAATTACACATACTTTTAAATTTACTCGTAAGCATAGGGAGAGGGTTAAAAAAATCTAACCTCCCCCAAGTTTAATGTTCGAACATCACAAAACAAGTGTTCAACACTTGTATTTATTTTTACTAGGTTTTATGTACATGCAATGCACATAGCAAAATGTCATGATTAAGTATTTTTAATTTATTTCCTCATTAAAATTTATTTTTCGGTATCACTTTAGTAGTTTTTGCTCACTTATGTATCTAAGTTCTAGCATTGTGATTGTTTATTTTATTCTTTGATATTTATTTGAGTGGACTACACTGAATTTAAAATTTCATGTTGATAATTGAATTGACAGGGAACAAATGTAATCCAAAGCTAATTTTAATTTTCATGTTATTTGAACCTATATGAAACCAAGCTTGATTTGAGAAAGTATAGTATTACGAAAGTGAAAAATACTTGAAAAATAGCACTATAAAAGCAAGGCGAATAATTAAAACTAATAAGCCAAGATGATTGATTAAAAAAAGTGCTAGAACAAAACTAAATAGAATATGAAGCTATTCTCAATCATTGATAGACTTTATAAAGAACTATAAAGTAAAGATTAATGCTTTCTAGTACGCTTTTGTATGATAAAAGTATCCACATAAGCATATAAAATACTATAAATAGTTTATGGAAATCTCTTCTAAATATTCCTAATTTTACTCAAAAAAATAAAACTATTCTATACAATTTTCACAAAATAGATTTTTTATTCCTTATGTTTCATTTGTTTTATTGAGTCGAGATCAATTATTCTCTATCTTTATACTTCTCTTGTGCAATTCGAGAGCAGTGTCCCTATCGTCTACATCGATTATGACTTTAGGTTAGAAGTGGATGTTTTGTACTGTTATATTTTTATTGGGCTTGTTTATCTTTTTGTCTTCTCATCTTACTTCACAAAAAAATTGCATGTATTTCTGACGTTCAACACAAACTTCTAGAAATATGAATTTTAATTATTTTTCTATTTCAAAGAGATTAATTATTAATTTAATATTGTTGATGTCCGAGAGCACACAGTCGATGGAAGTTGTTCGCGGATGACGAAGAGTGAGAGGATGAGATATGGGGCCGACTCCTCCTTCGACTTTATGCCCAATCTTTAGACTAAAATTCCTGATTCTTCTGCATAAACAAGAAGAACGAACCTGTAAGAGGGCGGGGCTAGTTTCCCCCGTGGTACCTCTGACGGTCAAGTCAAGCTGGTGAGCTTAAGTGGGGTCTGAGGGAAAGTCCCGGGACCATTGAGATCCTTGTCAGGGGGTATTATTTGTGAGTTATTAATAAAAAGAAAGTTGATCAAGAGGTTGAAAATGATCCCCCGAATTTAATGAATATCTAGCCTCTTCGTCGAGTCAAGATTAAAAGAAGAAGAAGAAGAGGAAGATCCTTTTTCCCCTTTGCACCTTACCTTCCTTTTATAGTCCTTCGCCTTGAGATTCTAACCTTAGCTTTGACTATGCACAGGAGGGGCAGTGGTGGGATGAGCAGACAGGATGCTGAGTCATCCTCAGCTTTACAGATGTCGGTTGGCGACTAGAAGGTAAGTCATTTGAGAACATGAGAGGACATCTCCGACATATCCCAGATTTTGACAGATGAGGCATGGCGGAAGATAGGTTGATTGCTTAGTTATTCTTTGCTTTACAAACGTCGGCTGGCGATTGGAAGGGAAGTCATTCGAGCACAGAAGATGATATTTTGGTGATATCTAGGAAGTGACTTTTGGCGAAGTGAGTTGTTTATGCCCGAGACTTGTCAGAGTTGAGATATTGATGGGATCGATCAATGTTGTAGTGTCGATTGATGTATATCTGAAGGGAGCTGAGTTGGATCTTATCCCCTTAGTAGAGACTGGTTGATTTTTGAGTCGTCCCTATGACTTGCCGACTAGATAGTCGAGTGAGCTTTTGGCCGAGGAGACAACCAAGTAGATGGCCGAGCTGACTATTTGAAGAGTCGTCATGATTTATGAGGGGTCAACTAAACCCGCACTTCGTGTCGATAAAGATGATTCGTCGCTCGGCGGGTCGATAGATTCGTTCTTGGCTGGGCTTTGGGCCGCTAAGCCGGTTTGAGCCATAACTCTTTTGGCTCTATGAAGACAGTTTCTCGATATCTTTGTTTTTAGATGGTGAATTACCATAACAAATATATATATAATTTTATGTTTCTAATTTATTACTTAAATATTTTAGGAGTTACCTCTTTTTCTCTATAATAAATTCTTCTATTATGCATACAATATGAGTTTCTGTTGTGTTAAATAATGTAAATTTTGATCTGCCTATGTCATTTTCTATAATGATCTGAATTAAATAACTACATTTTTATTATCAAGTTGGTTTTGACTATAATGTTAATATTTAATTTTGATATGTTTATTTTGTGAATAATAAATATTACTTAACTTTGGTACTATATCATCAACAGTTCTATGATATTTATCATTTGGACACTCTTATTAACATTTTCTATCCATGTTGTTGTTACAGCCTTTGCAAGTATAAAACCAAGATTCAACTTTCTTGAAAATGGTAGTTATCTTGGAAATTGTCCGTTTATCCTCTTCCCAAATGATTCGGAAAGCTTGCCCATATACGGTTGTCCTCATGGAATTTGTATTCGTCCGTGTTGAATAACTGATTCAAAATTTGTTATTAGGTTGTTATTTTGTTAGTGGAGTTGTTGCTAATTAGTTTAGATTTTTATGGGATTAAATTGTTTTGTAAGCCTATATAAAGGCACTTTTAGTTGATGAATAATAGAGCAAAAAAATTATCTCCTCTTCTCCTCTAATTTCCCAACATGGTATCAGAGCTCCAGTTTTCTTGGGTTTGTGAGGATTTTAAAAAAATATAGAGTGATGTCCTCTTCAAAAACGAGGAGAGGGGGGATAAAAACCCTAGCCCTAAAATCAATGGTGGAGGCGATGATAAAGAGCAAGGCAGCGGCTTTAACCGTCGCCGAGAGATGCAGAAGCATTTTGGGTGCAAATTCCCAAGCTCACCTCAACACCATCAAAGTCGACTCCAAAGGCAGCAAGAGTGAGATTCACACTTCGAAGGTGCACTATATTTTCAAGAGGGGAAAGCCTTACATCTGGGTTCATGAAGGAGACTTGCATAATACCAACATAATCATTGATGAGCGAGGTTCTTTTTCTGTCAGCAATGTCGTTCCAGGTCCACTTACGGGTTTGCTCAAATCTATAAGAAAGCTGCCAGCTTGTGCTGCTTTAGCGGGTGACGTTATACCTCTTAAAAAATAAATTTTATTCTAGGAATCATGGTGAGATGTGCGCCATGGAGAGATTGAGAGAAGTGCTCCTTTAAGAAATGTTGGTGATTATGTGCGTCAACAAGATTGAGATGAGAAGTGCATCACAAAGTGGAGAGAAGTGCTCTATGAAGATTCAAAAGGAATGACAAGAAATTTTGAATCAAGGGGGAATGTTGAATAACTGATTCAAAATTTGTTATTAGGTTGTTATTTTGTTAGTGGAGTTGTTGCTAATTAGTTTAGATTTTTATGGGATTAAATTGTTTTGTAAGCCTATATAAAGGCACTTTTAGTTGATGAATAATATAGAAAAATATTATCTCCTCATCTCCTCTCTAATTTCCAACAGTCCGTGCTCAACTTGGAGAGATTCGTATGCAACGTGGCCATATTTGTAAATAGTCAACTATTGTAGCGTGTCCTTCTTGTGAGAATCTGAGATTAGTTAAGTTTGAGCGAAAAGCCCAACATGTCCCCCATCCGTGGATGGCGTCAACTATGTACGTAAATAAAGATTATCTCCATAACCTAAAATCGTTATTCTATTTGCTTATCAACTTTAAAGTTTACTTGACAAAAAAATCATATATAATCAATCTACTACTCAAGCTCATTGTGACATAGACAGAACGTATACGGATCAAAGAGAATCCTGGATACTATAATGAGTTTTCTCATTGCATGACATGTTGTATGTTATCAGATATTCATAATAATGATTTTCGCCACATATTGTTAACAGCCAAAAGTGCTGATGCGTTTGTCAGTTAAGTTCACCCCTTACTCCCTTAGCTTTTTGATCGGTCCTTGATCTCAAACTTGAAATGATTAGATAACATAATGTTTGTTTATAATTTTGGTGTGCAAAAACTGTTATCTGGCTTTGTGGTGTGTTTGGTAATCAATGTGTTTTTATTTTGTTTTGTTTTTGTAAAAAACACCATGCCATGGTGTTTCTTTTTCAAATGTGTTTTGAAAACACCATTTTGGTCAAACTAGTTTAACCATTTATATAGCGGCAGGTAGGGAGCGCTCGGCGGCCGACGGCGGTCGGGTGCCGGCAGACCGGATGTACGGGCGACGGCCAGACTCCTCTCCCCTCTTTTAGACGCGAACGATGACCGTCGGCTACAGCAAGTGGGTAGCGGCCGAGTGCTGTCGGCGCATGCCGACCGGGCGTAACCCCTCGTGGGCGACGACGGACCGACGGTCGCGGCGGCACGGGCAAGCCAACGAGCGGCGGTCGATGTCGTCGACGACGATGGCGAGTCAGGTGGCGCGCAGAGGGTGGAGGCTGTGACCGCGCGGGCGGCGGCGTGGGGAGGGTGACGGCGCGCGGCAGTGACGACTGGTGCTGCGGCGAGCGATCGGCGTGGCGGCGGGTGGAGGTGGAGCTGTGAGCTGACCGGCGACCGGCTGCGGCAGCGCCGATGGCAGACGGGCGAACGGCCGGACGGTGCGCGGTGGCGGACGACGGACGGCAGGTGGCCGGCCCCGGCCGGCCGACGGACGGACCATTTCCAAACGGGCGGTCGGTGACGACTGGGCTGGTGGCCGCCGACCTTAGGTGGCGGCTAGGCCCGAGTGGGCGGCGGAGCCCGCCGGCGGTGGGCGGTGGCGCGCGAGCCGGCAGCGACGGCTCTATAACCACGACCCTGCGGACGACGGACGGCGACGTAGATGAAAAAACGGAATCTCAAAACACTTTTTTGATGTTTTGAGAAAAGTGTTTAATTTTTAGATTTTGTAAAGGGACAAGTCAAAAAAATATCCCGGTTACCAAACGCGTTTATTTATTTTTGTTGAAAAAAAGAAACGACAAAAACGCCACGGTTGTCAAACGCTCCCTAAATTATATCAAATAAATATACACACTCAGATGATCAACATGTTTGCTTAACTAAGCTCTCTTTATTGATATAATACCATTTCAACTGGAGTTTAAGCTGAAGCAAGGAGCTTCAATAAGCACCTTCCATTGCTCAGACCAAGTTAATAGTTAAAGGCGTTGACATCCAAAAGAGCATTACGTAAACACCTGACAAAGTGATAAGATTGAGTATATATAATAGATCTAAGTGATGGGACTACAAATAATTAATTGCCGAAAGGACAATGACTGTCGATAGAAGCCTGTACGTGTTTTGTTAAGGAAAACCAGGGGATTAGGATTAAGGGTCAGTTGCACTTGCAGCCTAAATTTTATTGAGTTGAGAGTTATTGAGGACAGTATAGGTACCTGTTTCGGAATATTTATGCATTTAAAACTTTATTTTACCAGAAAAATTTTATTGTTATTATATTACCTTGTCGTATATGTTAGCTTAGCAATTGATATGACCTTATAACCTCTTTTGTTAAAAAAAGTTAAATACTTTGTCATATGTACACTAACCCCTTTGATGAAAACAACGCTACAAACAATAAATAATCAGAGTCTTATGTATCCTCCAGACCATAGATATTTTTAAAAGATCATTCTCTGTGTTCAAGGAACCATTTTACATTACCTATGATTTGAAGGATGTGTATGAAAAACATTCTCGAATTAATAAATTTAAGTAGAGGCAATTGGGCCAACTCGTGGGTTACTTTCTCAGTCGAAAAAATTGGGCCTTCAAATATGGGTTGCTAGGCCGAACTCTCCAACCCTGCAAAAAAAGGGTAAAAGAAAAAAGAAACGGACCAGAATTAAGTATGAGGTTACTAGCTTTGCTAAACGAGATAAGAGACTAGCAATAACTTTCATCCCGCTAATCAAATTTCAAACTGAACACCCTCGATATTTCTCTCTTGATTCCTCATTTTGTAAGACAATATAGCAAAATATCCACTCTAAAAATTTAATCGACTTAACATTGAAATTGAAAATCGAAATCATGTTACATAGAATCAAACTGTCATCTTGTTGATCCATATAAAATCTGGTCAATGTGAATAATTAGCAACAAAACACCAGTATGCCACAAGAAAAATGTGCGACAAACCCGACCCGCCCATTTCACCGCGTCGCTGCCAGAAATATTTTCCTCAAGTATACTTTTTCCTTCAAAAGGCCAATTTTCTATAATAATCATTTTAAAACAATAATAACTATAATAAAATTTTAAGGCTTCGTTTGGATACCATGGTGTTTTCCTTGTTGTGTTTTTGTAAAAAAAATACCATTGTGTTATGTTTTTCCCTTAAAATGTTTTCAAAACACCATGTTAAATATTTTTCACCAATACTTGTTTGACCAATTATAACATTAGTATTAAACATATTATTAATATATTATATATTAATTATAATAAAATATATTATAATAAATATTATAATATTTATTTTACATTATTATAATATTATAAGTATTAAATATAATATTGTATAATATATTATAATATTATGTTGTGCTTTAATATGTTACATTATATNTAATTATTATATTATAATTGTTACATATTATTTTTAAATAATTATATATTTAATTATTTTGTATATCAATTTGTTATTGACATATTCATATTAATATTTTTAAAATAATATTATTTTATTATTATTATAACATTATAATATTATTCATATAATATAATATTATTAATAACGTTAATATTATGTTATTACTAATATGTTATTAATAAATTAATATACTATAAATATTTTAATATCTTATAATATGTTAAGAATTTTTAATATGTTAGATTTTATTAATAATAATTTAATAATATATTAATAATTTATGATATAAATAAATGTTATTATATTAGGAATATATTATTTTTACAATAACATTTGTTAGCAATAAATTATTGTATTATTAAAAATTATTTTACTCTATAATAAATTATATTATTTATTATATAATATATTAATATTTTATACATTATATTACATTTACTATACATATATTATTACAATATTATTATTATATTGTTATTTTATTATTAAATATGTTACTATTATATAGCATTTTATAATTATTCCTTTATATAACATTTTATAATTATTCATTTATTACAATTTATTTATTAAAAAGTAATAATATTATAGCTATCATACTATTGTATAGTATATTATTATATTATTACTAATAGCCTTTTTTATTATTTTTTAAATTAGTTATTTATATTTTATTACTATAAAATACATTATTAACATATTAAATGCTAGTTTTTAATATGTTATTATATAAGATATTTTATTTATTATATTTTTATATTATTTAATAAAAATATTACTATATTGATGAACTATAATATAGTATAATAAACATGTTGATAATAACTCTATATTAATTACATCTAATATATTATATTAACATCCTCTCAAACTCAAAACTAAAACACCAAACTTAAAACACCTACAAGTTGTTCTGAAATAAACATTGTGTTTTTTTAGTATGATTTAGCCTAAAAAAACACCATGATTTTTAAACGCATGATGTTTCGATTTTAATAAACACAACATAAAAATAAGTAAAACAACATATTATCCAAACCTTAGCAATCCATCAACCCCCCTAGTTATTAGAATCCAATTTAGAATCCAATTTGACGACGATCATAATAAACAAGAAGCAGCGTTTAAACACAGCCCAAAGTGTAACTGAAGTCAGGCTGGGGCCGGCCCACGAAACAGAATGATCAGAAACCGTCGAAAAAACACGCGTTCCTTCGGAGCGAAGTATATCAATCGCTTCTGCTACATTAGTTGAAACAGCGTACACCAATTCCAAATCAACAATTGAAAGTATCGGGCCACGTTGTTTAAATTCACTGGTGAATAACGCTGTACGGGTTCCATATCAAAGCACAGGATGCCGCCTGACGAGTCTTTCTTTAACCACGAAAACAACCATAAGAAAAACGATTATTTATCCGCGTGTCCTTCAAACTTCAAGACCCCAGAACCCAATCGCGGCCTCTAAACAAGCGAACCATTTAAATAAAAAGAACATCTTTCCTTCTCGAAACCCTAACCCTAATTTCGAGTTCGCCGGCGACCCGACCGCGATGTGCGAACTGAGTACGGGCAGGGCGGCGAGTATCGAATCGGGCGCGGAGCCTCTGGACGATGCTTGAGGCGCCAGAGCTCCGATGGGCGTTCATTCGTAAGATCTACACGATCCTCACCGTCCAATTGCTGATGACCGTCGCCGTTGCATCAGTCGTCGTATCCGTACGGCCGATCTCTCACTTTTTCGCCTCCACGAACGCTGGATTAGGGCTTTGGATCTTTCTCATCATTCTCCCGTTCATACGTGCGTATTTCTTTGATTTCACAAGGGGATTTTTTTTTGCTTTTTTTTGGGGGTTCTTTTTTATGTGGTTTAGTTTTGTTTGATTTTGTGCAGTTTTGTTCCCTTTGCATTATTATTATCAGAAGCATCCGGTGAATTTGATTCTTCTTGGATTGTTCACGGTGACGATTAGCTTTGCTGTTGGATTGTCTTGCGCATTCACCAGCGGTAAGTGTGAAAACCCTAACTTTCTTTATTCTGTTTATTGGTTAATCTCATTGCTTTGTATTCTTGTTGCGATCATTTTTGAACCGACTTTTATAGGATTATGTTGAGAAAGTAAGCATGTGAATTTATATGAAACCTAGTCCACTTGAAAGAAAAATAAAAGAAAATAACTATTGGGTAATGTTATTTCATTTAACCCCATAATTTTAGAAGGCAACACTTATGATTTCTTCTTGATTGCATAGAACCCTTTTTGGATGGAGTTACCCGAGGAGTATATTAAGTTTGATGCAATATTCTAGGTAAAGATGGTACTATTGACACTAAACAGAAGTCAGGTCTCTTAAGTTCTTGAGGCGGGCATTAGGGATGGAGACTTTCTTTTGGCTTCCCACCTAGATTTTACGAACGTTTAGGGGAGCATTGTCTGCTTACGTGGATTGCACCCTGTAGGCCTTGGTTGTGATTTTATGTGTTGTAGCCTACATGTCCTCTAAACTCCATTAACCTCCAAATATGAACACCTCCACTACCTCCTCCGACCTTCAGCAAAACCTCATCGACCACCACTTAAATGAAGAAAGAAATCCGCCTAGATACCAGTCCGACATCTAAGCTTTCTATAACATTAACCTTCACTATCAATTATTATAATTAAAAAGAATCTTAGGTTCTAGCCTTGTTAATTATTATTTTGGCTATTTAGTATCTAAGTATGCATGATTTATTGTTGAACTAAGATTACTATCTTTTTTAAAAACTTTATATGAATTCAATACATATTTTTATCAATTATTATAATTAAATCATTTAAAAATAGTCAAACGTCTAGGCGTTGCCTAGGCGTACGCCCAGGGGTCTAGGCGCTAGGCGCTCGCTCAAACGCCTAGTTTGCCTAGCGCCTTCTGTAACATTGCCGAGCTCCCCCGATCTCTGTAACTACTAACAAGATAAAGAGTACTTCTTAAATATCTACTTAAGTTGGTTCACAACAGTAACTTAAACTTAAGAAGTGTAAGTTAACAATAAACTTAAGTTTAAGTTTAAGTTTAAGTTAAACTTAAGTTTAAGCTAACAGTAAACTTTAAGTTTAAGTTAATATTAAGTTTTTTGTTGATGGTAAACTTAAGTTTAAGTAAACAGTAAACTTAAGGTTTTTTGTTGATGGTAAACTTAAGTTTAAGTAAACAGTAAACTTAAGTTAACAATATTTTAGTTAACAATAAACTTAAGTAAGTTTAAGTAAACAGTAAACTTAAGTTAACAATATTTTAGTTAACAATAAACTTAAGTTTAAGTTTATGAATATGGTTAACTTAAACTTAATAGTAACTTATAAATTAACTGTAATTTGAGTTGAGAATGAGTTTTTCAATGTTGAGATGAGCTTATAATTTGAGTTAAGAAGTATAAACATACAAAGAGCTATTGTGATTGGTAAACCAAGCAATTTAGTTAATAGTATTGGTATTTTAGTATTTATGCATCTTTGATTGAGTATATATATATCTTCAAGTATTACAATTAAAAAAAAAAAAAAACGCCTAGAAACCGCTTAGGCGCCTGCCTAGGTGACTAAGCGCTGGGCGCCAAGTCCGACGCCTAGAAGCGCCCAGCGTTTAATGTAACATTGGGTGCAATTGAGGAAACTTTATAAACTAGCATACAATATGGATAGAACAACATGCTCTGGTGTTGTTCTTGCATCTGGAAATAGCCTGAAGGATATTTTATGGTCCTAAGTCTTGATCTGTTGAATCAAAGAAAGATGCTAGATCTGTTGAATCGAAGAAAGTAGTAGTTCAGATGATGAAGATGACTGTGGGAAATAAGAGAAAGGAATTTCTTCTACCAATTTTGACTCAGCCTTGCAATCTTTCAAAGTGAAGGTAAAAATCGATATTCTTGTATTTGATGAAGAGGATAAGCCCGATAATGTAATTCCACCACTTAAAGTTTTGAGCTCATGTGGCTTTGTCTTACGAAATAGAAGTATTAATCCGGAAGGATCTCCTAGCTCGCGGGGTTGAGCTCTTTCGAAATGGGGGAGTATTGATCCAGGAGAATCTCCTGGTCTGGCAAGGTTGAGCACGCAGGGCTTCGCTTTACCAAAATGGGAGAGTATTGATCCAGAAGGATCTTCTATTCTGGCCAGGAGAATAAAGTTGCAGCACCTTTGTAGTAGAGTCATGTTGTAATTAGGAGTATGAGTCTTGTTATGTATTAGAAGTTAAGTCCCATTGTAATTAGGAGTACGAGTTCTATTACAAATTACAATTATGAGTTTCGTATCCTATTACAACTAGGAGTATGAACCCTATTTGCATTGGGAGTACAAGTCCTATTGTAATTAGGAGTATTGAGTCTTATTACAACTAGAGTATTGAGTCTTATTAATAACTAGGAATACGAGTCCTACTTATTTTAGGAGTATAAGTCATATTTGTATTATAGGATATGAGTCCTCTTGTGATTAGGAGCATGAGTCCTATTATGATCATAAGTTTGTAGCATCAGAATTACATAGAGTCCTATCTTGATTCAGAGTTTGTAATTACAGATTTGGAAGGAGTCTTAATTGATTATTGTAATCCTATTTATATTGTGTTTTTGTTAAATAGAAACTAGTGTTATACCCGTGCAGTGCACAAGTTGAATGGCTTCAAGCATGCCACTAACTTCTTTTGTATCATTATATCTCCATGTGCCCCCATTTTGTTTCGAAATGATTTATATAAGCATTAGTAGTTCTAAATACCTTTAGTAGTAATCCGCAACTAATGCAAAAGAACTCTTCATTCTTAAGTGTTGATAAATATTTGCTCAAAGAGTACCTCATTCTAACCACTGTTATAAGATTTTATCATCCAAATTCAAAACCAATGAACTCAATTCCAAAATCCTTGTATAACTATAGATTTTGAAATGCAAATACTCCAATAGAACCTTCAAGACACTTAAATAAAGATTGATGTATTATTGACCAAAAATCATCATTAGTCCAAAATCAAAATAATCCAAGCTTACAACATCAAACAAACTTATTTCTTGTAACACTCAAATTAATCATCAAGGCACTTTTCATTAAACTTTACAAACAAAAATCCATATTGTAAATGTAAGTTTAAGTGTCTTTCTACAGATGAAAAGTAATAGAACCATAGATAATTAGCTAACATTTTTCACAAAACTATGCTGCAAGCAATGAATCATAAACTTCTTCTTTCAATATTGCAGTACAAAAGGGGCACCTCAAATTGCATTGGGAAATCGATATCAAACGTCATTAGTCAATACATACCATCATCTCTACATTGTTGTACTTAGCACACCTTTTGTCTCTTTAATCCCTTGATAATAATGCAAAATGCAAAAATATAGGTAGATTAGCACATTAAAAACTCAATACTTTCTATAAGAAAAGAAAGCAATACACACAACTCATATTTTCCATAAGAAAAGAAAACAATACATGCCTGCATGCATATCAGTATAAGAATTGACCAAAAATTAGAAAATCTCTAACATTTAGTTATAAACACGTTTGTACATTTTTTAATTCAGGCCTATGTCATTTACAATTGTTGAGGAATAACTAATCTATGTATTATAGAACTTGTCCATACATAACCAAATGTCATAAGTGATAAAGGGAACCTGGAGCAACAACAGCTGAAATCTCAATAAATATGCAAAGTCTTCATAATATTATGGAAGCTGAATAGCAAAAGCCAAAAATGTTGCCTGAATTTGAAGAAGATAAATAGAAAGTTTTAGATATTTTCTTGAATTATAAAGAAAAAATATAATTTATCAAGAATCTCAGGGTAATCATTGTATTCATAAGTGTCTCAAATACATATTTGTATTTTCTTCTAATCATTTTAGTTTATAGCCAAAATTCTATAAATCCAAAATTAAATCACATGTTCAACTAATTAATCAAGAGATGGGCATGCATCAAATCTAATCATGGAGAATCTAAAACTGGAACTAATTGAAAAGATTGTTATCTTTGTTATTGTCAAGATCTTGAGCTCGAGGATTAATCAGCAATTAATCATGAAGAGCAACACTGGAGATAATTATAGATGGAGAATGAGCTGCAGTCAACGAATTTCTAGAAATATTGATTAAAATCAATAAAAAGTAGAGCAAAGTAGTTCGCTACTACAAAAATATAAGTAAATCAATAAAATAACAAGAAGACCCTAGGGTTTTGGGCATAGAACCCCTTGAAGTGGCGATCTTTAATATAAATACTTGAAATAATTAAGAAAATAACGACAATCTATAAGTAAAATACTCTCTATAGATTAAATTCTCATTCAAGTTTGAAAATCCGAGATAATTGGAAAATATTATGAAAATTAATTTTTTCTGCTAAAAGTGTTGGAACATTAAAGGATAGATCAAATCAGTCATGAAACTAAGTGAAACAACTTTAAGGAACTGTGAAATATAAGAAACCTGAAGTAAAAGCTAAAAATCTCAAAGCTTTAACAAAGTAAAACCCAACAACTAACTAATGAATGCAGAAATATAATTGCATACAGCTGAAAGTGGAAATCTTTCGATAAAACTCATTATCCTGCATATTTATTCTGTCTCTTGATCTGATAGAAAAATCTCCATGAAAAACATAGAGGAATATTAAAAAAAAGATTAATTTAAAATTAGAACAACATGCCCATATTCTTTGTGAGAATCTCTCTGCTCATTATTTTTGTTTTGTGCAACATTCCAGTGCTTGCAATTGCGAAAACTTTGAACATGATGGACAAATGAGAACCAAGCAACATAAAATTCATATAGATTTTTTTCTTTTATAGACCTTTAGAATTCATGGTAACATAGAAGTGAACTTTATTTGACCCTATTTATTTATCATTGATATATGCTTAAGCTACTTTATGATATTAATATAAGTTATAAATAATTGTTGGGATTCAATGGTAATCGTAATGACATAGCTCTTGAAATCAAATTCATAAGTGCACATAATAAAAGGGGTTCAAATAATAAAGAAGAAAGGCCCTAAACAAAACGCACAACGCTTGTTGCAGGACATTGCAATCATCTTCGAAGTATAGCACAGACAATAATACACATTAAGAGAATAACAATGTCACCTTTCCGAGTACACAAACATGATAGCCTCCCCAAATTCATCAACGTCGGTTGACTCCTTGACCATCTTCCCCAAATATAGCGAGCCAAGAAATCCTTCAAATGTTCTTTGTTGCCTACTTGCCCTCTATTTAAAAAAACCCAAATTAAATGATGAAGCAAACAGTATTATGAATAAAAAGAAAAGGATGAGGATTAGTGGAGAGGTGGCAGTCATTGAGGCCGGTGATTGCCTGGTATTGTGCACCACAGCCAAACAAATAACTCAATAGAATTAAGTGTATATGCTTTTATCTAATATTAATCTAGTTTAAGAAAATGTGCGTTTTTCATCCCTAAAGACTTTATTTCTAGTAATTAGATTTATCCCTACCTCATAAGCAATGCTGCAATAGGAAATGAATAGATCAAATATCATAGCTTCCCACACTGAACTCAATCCCAGAGACCAGAATATATAAAAGCGCAAAGCTAAGGAAGTAGAGGAATTAGGATTTGATCAACAAATTGCTCAATCGTTTCTTGGAAGAAGAAATTATATTTATTCATACCTCATAAGTAGTTGCAAACTTAACAAACAACTTTCTCAACTTAGTGTTATGATTCTTTTGTCTGATGACGACAAAAACAATCTGAAAATAATAATAAGCAAGCACTACGAGGAAAAGGGGGCTTCAGTTGAGGAATTTACTGTTTCAAAGAGCTTGTAGTGAGCTTTTTTATATCTGATGAATTGGCACTCTGTGAAACCCTAGAATCAAGAAATTGAGAAATAGATAATTAATTTAAAATATTTTTAAGCTAATTAATTCAAAGAGTTGAAATGGGAATCAATTTCACTAAGCTAACTTGAGCTTTAGGAGTTGAATATAAGCCATAGATAGCGTAGTATTTTCAAGTGAAAAGCAGACCATAAATTAGAAAAAAATTAAACACTAGTAAACAAAATCAAGATATCACCGGTCATCTATCCAACATACTTATCTACTACAATCTCTATAAGATTTAGCCAAGTAACAAATTTACTTCAATTAATAAGGTAAATAAAAGGAAAGTTAAAATTTACAACATTTAGCTATAAAAGGCAAATCAAATTTCAATATCTTAAATTCCTAAACAAGACCAATAATATTAGTCAGTTTCAAGTAATTCTCTGGGTGCAAGTTTTATAAAACAATTTGATAAGCAAAATTCCTTCCATAAAAAGATATTGCATCAACAACTGAAAATAAATTACAATTTTTCTTACCTGCAAACATGAGGAAAAAATCAAAATCAAACTTGCGCTTACCTAAGTAAAATGCAAATTCCCTTACAATCAGAAAAGCTTTCATATAAGTTAACAAAAAATGCAAATTGTACTTTTCCTTGATCATTTTCCAAATGATCCTATCATCTCATCCCCTAAAATAAAAGGAAAACAAACAGAAATTTCTCAATTAACCACATAGATGCTTGAAAGATTAGAGAAAGTTGATCCTCTCGAGTCTAAAGAAGTTGAGTCCATGAAAAAATTGAACAATTGCAGCAAAGGTGTGATTTTGACAGCCAAGTTTGCTTCTTTCTAGCAATTTAAAGACTTTCCATAGAAAAAAGAAGGCTTGAATCTGAGAAAAGTCAAGCTTTTGATACAATCCTCTTGAATTTTGAGTCAGATCTGATTGCTGAGTTAAAAAAGAAGAGAGGAGACCAAGGGAAAAAAGGGGGGGGGGGGGGGGGGCTAGTTGGGTTGAAAAAGAAGAGAGAGTCAGAGGGAAAGGGGAGGAGAGAGAAGGAAGAAGGAGAATTAGGGATTTTTTTTTTAAGGATTAGGGGGTAGTGTTATGGAGAGATAAGAGGGAGAAAGAGGGATTCACATGGAGATAGATAGGACATCTAGTTTTGAGTGGAGTTGGGTACAGCTTGAAAGAGGGATAGGTGGCTTCTCACATGTACAATTTTGCGCCCAAAATACTGTAGCAATCCAAAGGTTTTGCTATCATATTAAAAGTAGTGGATTTTGTAGGAGAATTCTATTTAAATAGCAAGTTCTTCTCATATAGTAACTCTGAGCAAAGTGTTATTCAGATTTTAGATCTTCATTTAGAGATGAATTGTAATATGTTAATCAAGTTTGTTGAGAAGCAATACAAGAAAATTTTAGGGAGCATTGCTCACTCTGCTAAAAATCTATCTTTGTGTTTTGTTCTTGCAATTATAATTCTCTTCTACCTTCACTTAAAGTGAACACATACCACACATACCACTTCATGTTCAAGTTACATTTGTTCTTGGCATGTTATACATTTTTGTTTATCCAGTCTGAACAGTCTAGATACTTTATAAGGACTGCTCAGTCAAGAATGAGAAACCTTTCGTGCTGTAAGAGTACACGATACACTTGGTTTTGGATATTGATATAATGACAGGCAACAAATTAGATAAGCGGAAGCACATTCCTAAAGTAAGTTTTTCTAGAGGTATATTAGCCCTTGTCATTTTAGTTGATTGTCTATAAGGCGGGTAGAAATAGTTAGGGGCTGGTAGGTGTCAGGCCAGGTCAAATCTTCAGATAGTTACTGTACATATCGGATTGGGAAACAAAGGAAACATTACAAATTACAATTCGCATATCCAACAAGCCTTCGTATGAGGTTGCAAGCTTATCTTAAACCTTATAGTTGTTTTTGGACTTCGCAATGGGTTTCAATTGGGAAAGGAATATTAATCACAGGAGTCAAGGGAAGGGATATATCTTTTGAGAGCATAGAACAGAGTAGATCAGAAAAGGATATGGAAGTCGTATGCTGCAAGGGTTAACGAAGATGGTTTAACATGCCTTCATATTAAAGACTGCTACCTGTTTTTGTTGAATGGATAAAGAATCAAGGCAATGGATAAAGAATTAAGGCAATCACTTGTTGAGAGTCTTTGTTTTTATTCGTGGACTAGGTGATGAATGCCAACAGCCAGTTGCCTTTTTTAGGATTAAGGAGAAGGGATGAAGAGTTGGACGGTTGTATTTTTGTAACTTAGAGAACTGTCGGTAGAACTGCTGACAGGTGCTCACATGAAAGTAGAGCTGCCTTACAGATGTTCGCCTTGCTTGTTCCATCAAGTAAAGCTAGTAACTCTCTAAAATTCCTTGCTAACGGCCTGTTGTTGGTTCCCAGTAAAAGTTTTAGTTTCCTCTTGCTCCCCAATTTCGCGGCAGTCCCTTTCCGTCGGATGGGTGCCTTGACCAAAACAATATTTATTAGCTAATAACTCTTTGTTCTTTTATTGGAAGTCTGAATGCACCTCCGTCTGATAATCATCTAAATACCAACAAAAAATGCATGAATGTAAATTAAAAATATAAGGAACCAAAGGAACAGACCCTAAACTAAAACGAAAGCATCTGCCATTTTCTTTATGAGACACAATGTGGTTAAATTTTTTCAACGGTATCTGTGTAGACAGTCACCTTAAGTATGACTTGGTTGCAATATCTAATTTACGACTTGGTCATATGGTTCTCGTGTGCTTGTCCTAATTGTTTACTTATGTTATGAAAATGCATTATCATAGTCTGTCTACTCAGATTTAGTTTTTGACACATAGACCATTTTCCTAGTTCCAGTTACTAATTGTAAGTTTCTAATCTGACACTTTGTCTCATATAATTTCTGTGTCCGATAACAGCAAAGGTCATTCTGGAGGCTGCTATTCTGACTGCTGTTGTAGTTTTGGGTCTCACCCTCTACACATTCTGGGCAGCAAAGAGAGGCCATGACTTTAGTTTCCTTGGTCCTTTCCTCTTTTCTGCTGTCATGGTGATGCTTGTGTTCTCTCTCATCCAGGTAAAAGATATTATTTTTTCATTAAAAAAATGCTAAAACAAACATTGTGGCTTTGTCAATTTTAATTTGATAGTGAACTTTTGTGAATGACTACATTATCTGCAGGTGTTTTTTCCGTTGGGTAAGATATCTGTGATGATCTACGGTGGACTTGGAGCGATAGTATTCTCTGGATATATTGTATATGACACAGACAACTTGATCAAGCGCTACTCCTACGATGAATATGTCTGGGCTTCTGTTGCTCTCTATCTTGACATCGTCAACCTTTTCCTTAGTTTACTTACTTTACTTAGAGCTGCTAACAATTAAATTTCAGGCGTATGGAAGTATGCAGCTCAAATGAATACATTCTTATTTTAGAGTAAAGACTCATGGATATAAGTAAAGCTTTTACCTAAAAGGAGAAATCTGAATTTAGGTTTGTACATATCAATTGTCTTTCATTGGAGACCGTAATATTCCCGTTTTAATAAGAAGTGGTGTCAAATTGGCATAAGAAGTGGTGTCAAATTGGCATGACCAAATTGGTATATTTTGTAGAAGCTTGGTGACATTGTATATTTTTTTAGTTTTGTCAGATTGATATATTTTATCGACTCCGACGTCATATAGGCCTTAAGTTTGGTCGGAGTTAATTTTCCGACCATTATTCTTACGCGACAACTCACGTAACTCTGACGAGGACTCCAGTGTGATGATATTTAGTAGGAATAAGCAAGTGATTTCTCTAGAAAATAAGTAATTTCCTCTAGTTCTTTAATTTCCCTCTCTTCCCCAAATTGTAGAAGATCCCCAAATTGCAGACGATCCCTAGAGCGTGACGATCCCTAAATTGCAGACGATCCAAGTTCAAGGCTTCCATCTACTTCATCGTCTTAGGCGTGGAGCAAAAAGTGAGTGGAAATTTTATATTTTTGAAACTAATAATTAGGGTAGATTTGATGGGTTTAGTGTAAATTAGGGTTTTTATTGTGATATTGCAGATGAGTCTCCAAATCTTGGTTAAAATCACACATGGAGGAAGTTTTCTGATAGGCTGGGTTGAAGATTATGTTGGTGGTAGATTTGATGTTAGGTTTATAGCCAAAGAGGATCTGAGCATAGAAAGACTGATGGATGACATTAGTGCAATTGGGTATAACAATGTCAATGACTTGTTGTACTGTGTTCCTGGTGCAGGGGTTTGCATATGGTGGATTGATGTCTGTAAATGATGAAGGTTCCTTAATTGAAATGCTAGAACATGCAGAAAGGATAAAGGCAATTGAAATCTATGTTGATCATGTCATTGATGAACCTGCGGAAGTTATTATGGAAGATTGTGATGTGTTGTTGTTGGAAGGTGTGAGTCAACCAATTTCTGAATCACAGACTCAACCAGTTGAAGCATTGTGATGTGTTGTTGTTGGAAGGTGTGAGTCAACCAATTTCTGAATCACAGACTCAACCAGTTGAAGCACAAGAAGATATGCAGTCAACCAATTTCTGAATCACAGACTCAACCAGTTGAAGCACAAGAAGATATGCAAATGCCACAAGCGGACACTCCTAAAAAGAAGGGGACAATAGCAGTACCTAGGAGATCAACACCCAGTAAAGTCACTGCTAGTGCCATGAGAAACGAACTCCCAAAAAAGCAACACCCAAGAGAAATGTAGCATATCCTTCAACCTCTAGAAAGAAACTAACACCCAGGAGGGCAACTAAGCTGTCAACCTCCAGTGAAACCCTGCCGCAACAAGTAGCAACTGCCTCAGCCTCTTTAGATGAACCGTTAAATGCACAACACTAGTCAAGTCCATCTAGTGATAGTGACAACTTTGTAGAGGATGAGAATTACAGAATTGATCGTAGAGAGGCATTTGTAGATGATGACTTTGATGAAGATGAACTATTTGATGAGTTTAGCAATAATGGCAAGGGGAAAATGAAGAAGAATGTGCAAGAGAAAGAGGATGACGGTGCCTACAGTGAATGTGGAGGGCAATGAGACTGTGCTTGAACCAAATAATGAACCTAGGGAGGCAGTGAATGTGGAGGGCAATGAGAGTGTGCTTGAACCAGGCCAGGAAGATAGGGAGGCAGTGAATGAAGTTGATGGTGCCCACAGTGATGATTCCTTTCAAGCTGCTATATGTAGTGAAGATGAGGAACTGAATGAGATTAGGCAATGCAATAAGGAGATTCTAAGTCAAGAGATGGGCAACATTGTTTTAAACTCTGGTGCAGTACTAGGAGAGGGTGTTGATGCAAGTAACTCCATTCAATTTAACACTGTCAGACCCTCTCGAGTGGTTAATGCTAATGTACCAACATCACCTCATGAAGGAATGCATTCAAGAGCTGACAACACAATTGATGAACCTGGGCCATCAACCACTGAACCACAACAACAGTCATGGTCAGATTTTTGTACAAATTATGATGGTGGATATGAATCATATCCTAGATCAAGTGGTGATGAAGGTCCCATAATGGCAAGTGATGAGGATGAAACTCTTGTCCAAAGTTAAAAAAAAAATAGCAAAGGTCAAGTATCTATTTTTTAATGAAGAAGTTGAGATGAAAAATGTTAAATTGACAGTAGGATTGAAGTTCACGTTAAGGGAAATATTAAAAGAAGCAATATTGAATTACTTCATACAAGAACACTGACATTGCTTATGGAAAAAATGATAAGAGGCAATTGAATGTGAATTGTGCACTCTATCATTGGCAGCTAAATGCTACACCATATCGTGATGATGCTAGTGCTTGGAAAATCAATAGTATGCACCATTATCATACTTGTAGTAGGACAATCAAGAATAGGCTAATCACTGAAGATTGGCTTGCAGAAAAATTCATTGACAACTTTTGAGGGATCCTACGTTCAAGCCCAAAGATATGAAAGCAGGCAAAAACAATATGAAATCGTAGTGGATTTAAGGAAATGTAGGAGGGCAAAGAGTAGGGCTTTGAATGCAACAGATGGTTTGTTTAAGAAGTAATATGGCTTGTTAAAGCCATACATGAGAGAGCTCTTAAGGAGTAATGATGGAAATACATGCATTCTGAAGGTCACAGATCAAAGTGATTCATTAGAATCAGGGGTCTTTCAAAGATTCTACGTGTGCTTTGTAGGTAAAGTTCAAATGTTTGTTAGAAAATTTTGAAGTTTTATCAAAGCTTGTATGTGCATATTTTTTAGGTCATACTGAATTCATTCATGTGTTCTCAGCCATGAAAAGGGGGTTCGCCAACAATTGTAGACCTATATTTGGATTTTATGGGTGCTTTCTTACACATGCATGTGGTGGGCAATTGTTAAGTGTCGTGGGGAGAGACGACAATAATCAAATGTGGCCAATTGCGTGGGTCATTGTGAAGGGTGAAACTAGGAGCTCTTGGAAATGGTTTATGAGAATCTTATCTAGTGATCTCAATATGGGAGAGGGAGAGGGATGGACAGTAATTTCAGACCAACAAAAGGTAAGGATCAATTTCATGTCATATTCAATTTAATCTCTATCTGGGCTACATGTTTACATATCTGGGGATGTTTTTTTGTTTAACTAGGGTTTAGTTTCAGCTATACATGAAGTTTGACCCCAAGTGGAGTATAGGCAATGTGCAAGACACATTTATTCCAATTGGAGGAAAGCACATACTGAAAGAACTCTTCAAAAACAATTTTAGTATTGTGTGAAGGCAACATCCATGGGGGGATTTTGCAAGAGAGGCTGCCAAACTCAAGGATTACTCTCAAAGGGCATACGCCGACTTCATGGCAAGGGATCATCACACCTTTTGTAAGTCACATTTTAAATGTCATAGCCAATGTGATAGTATTGATAATAATATGTCCGAAACCTTCAACTCATTCATCCTTCTTGCAAGATACAAACCAATAATTTCTATGTTAGAAGACATTAGACTTGCCATGATGGATAGAATGCAGTTAAAGTTGATTAAAGAGGGATATTAAGAACAATTGCACTGTCAAACACATTGGTCGGAAACAAATGACTATAGTGGATTTGAGATACATCACAAAGGGATTGGCTATGAGGTTAACTTGGGTGAAAAAACCTATTCTTGTAGGGTTTGAGACTTGACTGGAATTATATGTCCCCATGCCATTAGTGCAATATTGTTCATGAGAAAGAATCCAGGAGATTTTGTTGCTCATTGGTACAAAAGTGATATTGTTCATGAGAAAGAATCCAGGAGATTTTGTTGCTCATTGGTACAAAAGTGAAGCTTACAAAAATGCTTATGAGAGCTTGTTAAACCCTGTGTTGCTCATTGGTACAAAAGTGAAGCTTACAAAAATGCTTATGAGAGCTTGTTAAACCCTGTGCAAGGTATCAGATTTTAGGACCTTCAACGGGAGGGATCTGTGTTGCCTCCTCACAGTATTAGGAAGCCGATGGGGAGGCCCAAACATGCTAAAAGGAGGGACCATTCAGAAGGTCCAAAAAATCAATTTAAGGCATCAAGGCAAGGTGTGTAATTGAGATGCACTCATTGTGAATCAAGTGAACATACCACCCCACTGCACCACCAAGACAACAAGCTACACAAGTAAGCTTATTTTTTTGTAGCTGTATTCTGTGTTCATTAAACAACTTAAGCCTTACCTGATCCATCTTACAGGAATCACAAGAAACAAGAGTTGGTGAAGGACCATCTCAAGTGAGAAAAAAGGGGAGACCAAAGGGAAGCATGAACAAAATTAGATATGGTGACATGCCTCCAAGCAATGCTCCAACGCCAGCATCCATTATCCTTGGAAGAAGAAAAAAAGCTCCAACAACCAGCGCTGAGGCGGGAAGAGGTAGAGGAGGGGGGAGGGGGGGGGAGGGGGGCTCCAACAACCAGCGCTGAGGCGGGAAGAGGTAGAGGAGGGGGGAGGGGGAGGGAGAGGGAGAGGAAGAGATAGAGGGAGAGGTGGTCAATTACGGATGCCAGAATGGTTTGGTTTGTGGCAATGACCACAAGGGGAAATGATATTTAGAGCTCCTGGTGACAGTCAAGTAAATGTGATACATTTGACACCTAATGCTCCATCCTCACAGAGTGCACCCTCTTAGGAATGAGAGTGTAATTAACTGCAGTAGATAACTAGTGTTTTGTATTTTGGGACAAAATTGTTAATGTCTGGTTAATGTTATTTTGGTACAAAGTTGTTACTGTCTGGTTAATGTATTTTGGGACAAAGTTGTTATTTTGTATTTTGTGTTTAGATGTGTTTATCAGTTCTATCTGGGCATGTTCTATTTAGTATTTTGTGTTATGTTATGTGATAAAGTTACGTAACTTACATGCACTTGGTATTTTGTGTTTTGTTATGTGTTACAGTAGTTTCCAAGCAATGTTCTACCTGATACATTTGGTATTCTGGATTTTCAATACATTGGCATGTTTAAAGTTTATATGTCTACTTCATGCTAATCCCTTTATTGACATCATTGAACCAGTTCATGTGCAATAAGGGTCAAACATGTACAATTGAATTCATGCCATTGAACCAGGTCATGTACATTTGGTTATACAAGTTATTGCACCGGTTCGTGTGCATTCATGCATGTATATAACAACCAAGCCAGTTCATTTATTCATGCACAATCAACAACACACATTAGGAGTTCAATATACCAATCTGTCAAAATACAGTGTTTTATTCACAACCACTTTTACATTACAACCATCTTCACATTACAATATACAGAATTAAACAGAGTGTAAACATTCCTAATAACAAAATAAACTTAATAATCTTTTTTTTCTTCTGCAATCTTTTCGTGCAATTCTAATCTTTCTTTCATCATTTTCTGCACTTCTTCCAACCAAGAAGCAGCCTCATGTTGAGACAATTCAACATCCTCTTTAAGCTTGTAAATGTGCTCATTGCATCCTCTTAGCTGATTTTCACACCTTTGAAGTAACTCCTCCTTCAACAGCAAGATATTCCTCAAACCATTGATCTCCTCTCTTAGAAGCGAAAACAATTGACATTCAACACTACTCATTGGTTTGTTAATCCATTCCCAAATGCCACAACCACCAGCCTATCATTACTCAAAAATCAAAGGAGGCTATGATCAAATGAGTTGCGCAAAAAAATACAACTTCTAAGTAAAAACTACAGTTGATTACTGCAACAAATGAGGAAGTAAATTTAACTTACATGCTGATTGCGGCATTTGTAGAACCTCCAGTTGATTACTGCAACAAATGAGGAAGTAAATTTAACTTACATGCTGATTGCGGCATTTGTAGAACCTCCGTCCTGGATTGAGGAAGTAAATTTAACTTACATGCTGATTGCGGCATTTGTAGAACCTCCGTCCTGGATTTTTATCAGTTATAGAAGAAAAATATTCACACTTCATACCACAATTATAAACCTTCACCCCAGATTGCTTTGTTAGATCATTCCATTGTCGTATAGCTTTTATTCCATTGAACCATTGCCTGCTTCTTCTCATGCTCGTGCTTGACACTAATCTTGAGCGACAGCTTGAAGGTGAAGAATCCATCACTAATTTAACTCTCACTGAACCTAACCCTAACCCTAGGAGGAGGAAGAAGATGGAGTAAGAAGGAGGAGGAAGAAGATGGTGGAAGCCCTAATTGGAGATATAAACCCCCCTTTTGCCGAAATTTATTCATCCCAACTACCGCCATGCTGGAGTCCACGTCAAGGCCGCGTCGAAGTCACGTGAGCTATCGCGTGAGAATAATGGTTGGAAAATTAACTCCGGTCAAACTTAAGACCTATATGACGTCGGAGTCGACAAAATATATCAATCTGACAAAACTAAAGAAAATATACCAACATGTCACCAAGCCTCTACAAAATATATCAATTTGGCCATTTTGTCTATAAGTAAAGCTTTTACCTAATAGGAAAAATCTAAATTTAGGTTTGTACAGATCAATTGTCTTTCATTGGAGACTGTAATATTCCCGTTTTAATAGGAAGTGCTGTCAAATTTTCATGTTTGTGATGATGAGAAATCTGCATGCACAATATATGAATTTTGATTGTCCAATATAGCTTAGGTTAGATATGCTTAACAATTTAGAAATGAGGTTGGAAAATGGGAACTTGCTCCTTATTTAATCATCAGTGATGTTTCAATTCTTTCGTCCATAAAAAGGAAAAGGTGAAGATTTCTGAGCCATTGAGTTTTAAATTTATCCGACATTTCAATAGTGTGCTTTGCTCGTTCTATTGAAGCATTTTGCTGTTTGCAGAATTTGCTGCTTTCTCATGAAGAGTGCTGTAATCTGATCTCTTTTGCCATCTCCATTATTCTACGTACAAGTAATCTTCAATTGGAGTAGATGTAATCGATGGCAGCATGAACAGTTAGGATAGAGCTAAGCTATTCGAGGATATCGATAACCTTAAAAAGGTTACTTGATATCTACTCATCTATACAAATGAGAGAACCCAATATTCATCATTTATGCTACAGTAAATACTACAATAGCATTAACTGCGGCAAACAGGGAAGATGATACTGTAGCAAGTTTTTTAAGATATAACTGTAGCATGCGGAAATACTGTAGTTTTTTTTTAAAAACTGTAATAGAGAACTGTAACAACTCAAAAAATTTTAAAAATATCACTGACATTTAAAAATCTAGATTACTGTAGCAATGAAAAAATTTGATATGACGGACTTTGTGCGGTGTTCACGACTAGTTGTATATATACTCGGAAAATTGGAACCAACAAGCGCACTAGGATCTTGAAGGGTCTGAGCTTTTTAACAGCCAATACGGGTTACTAGTTCACAGAGAAACTTATTGCAGCAATGTTTTGGTAAGCAGAATGAATTGATATTGAAAAAGATCACCATCAAAACTTAGCAGTCCGAGAAACCATAACCAGTAGCTTTATGTGGGTGGTCGAAACCGAGGTCATTTTTTGCACAAGTTTCCTGGGGTGGAAATCTTTTATGCACATCCCAGGTTACATGATTTTTTTTCCCTGCAGAGGCAAAGGTGTTTGAACTTTGTTAGTATTGTCAAATTTCTTGTGAACACCTTCACTGTTTTTGAACATGTATGCCTTTATGATGGCTCACAGCGATGAAGCTTCTCATCAGGCTCTTCTTTTTCGTCACCCTTTATTAGTCCACGGAGCGAGACCTACATTTATATCATACGCGTTAATTTTGAAACTTCTGGTGTCACAACATTCCAAAATTTGCATATGAAAGAACTTGTCGGCTTATTTTTTTTTTAGTTGAATTTTCAATAAATTAAATTTGTAACTGTATAATTTCCTATCACGCTGTTCTCTGTCAATGATAATAGATAATCACAATTATTTAGGATGTGACTGCTCTATATGTAGATCCAGGAATTGGATTACACATCTCCTGGTGTGGACCCTGTACGCATCGTAGTTGCGTATTTTCATCAGATTCGTTGATGACTATAATATGTAAATCAACGTTCATTGTGCTGTGACGCTTTGACATTATCCCATAAAGAGCTAATTCAAAGTGCAGCAATCATTGTAACAATCTCACATGTTAATGTGAGATTCAAAGACATGGCTAAAAAGAGTGAGCACATCATGCTGTCTCTGTGGTACCAGTCAAAGATTCACAGTTTCCACGTTAAAAGAGAGACCATAGCTTTTGCTTTTTACATAGAAGATAGGGTATACAAAGTTGTAGCAGCATGAGAGAGAGAGAAAAATAAACGGCAAAAGAGAGATCTAATGAAGAACCCTACTTAATTTCCCCCCTTTTCCTTTATACAATGTAACAAAGAGACATGGAACCCCACATAACATCAACACATAAAGAGGTTTAGATTGGTCTCCTCCTACCGCCATTAACTATGCTCAAGAGTCTTGATACTCCCTGAGTCCACATTTCATACTCTCTCTGCCCTCCGCATTCGAATTCAATAACTCGATTCTCAGCGGTTTTAAGGCCAAAATATCGCCGCTGCTCTCCATGTTCTAGAAGGTGACGGCCTGGCCAAGCTTGAAGATCCTTGCAAATGTCTATGATCACACCTGAATGCATTGACGAAGTCGAGTTAGTATAGATTTAGATACGAGTTTATACGAAATTTTTGTATTCAGGACATACTTTTTTTCTTCTTGGTGATTGTTCCGGCTACATGCCTGCTCTTAGTTTTAAGCATCACCTGAACATACAAGAACAAACGTTAACATAAAAATTTGGAGCTGGCCAGAGGAAAAATGTTAACCGTAGAATTATTACCTGACCCATTTGATTGATATAAACGGAGACGAGCTTCCAATGCAGAGAACCTGTAAATTTTGAAAATTAGCATAAACACAAAAAAAGAATTACAAGAAACAGGTTATTTAAGTTCACTTGTAGTTTGTACCTTTTCTGGTACGTTTTAGTAATTCAGAGCCACGACCTAAGAGTTCTTGACTACAGAGACCCAAGAAGTTGTCGTCAGGTGAAAGTTCGCCGCTGAATCCACCATGGCCACCATCATTTCCTTCTGATTTCCTACTGTGGAGTTGACTATCGCGATAATGGCCGTGATTGCTTCCCAAACCTCCTTTTTCTACGGGAATTACTGCAGCCACATTCCACACCTCCTTGAGTGCCCTTGCCTTCAATGTTGCTGCTCCTCTCAATGCTGAAATAGTCCCAAAAGTCCAAAATCAGTATTTTTTTAAAAAAAACCTTGAAAGTGCAAACTGCACCAAAACATTTCCAATACATAAGATTATTTGCTTCAATTTTTTTCGGTTCTATTAGTTTTATCTGATAAACTTTCTGTTCTACATGTTGCGCATGTCACCTTCTCCTTCCAAAGTCACAGCGTTCGAGCACACAACTCACTAATACTCACATTGAATAGAAGAAATTGCAATTAGATGGACAACTGAAATATATGATAATAGTTAAAACTTATCAGAGGACAGAGCCAAAATAGGACTGAATGGAAGAATCAGATTCATCTAACCAACCCCAAAATTTGCTATCAAGATATTTTGCTGCTTTTTGTTGGACAATTGAGACTCCAAGATTATTGAGCTTGAGAACTCCAATCATTTATGACACCAATAACTAATGAAATAGAACGTTCAGCTAAAAATATGAGTACGGTGTATTTTTTAAAATTTCTTTAACAGAGGAAACTAAATCATTAGCTGAACATTCTCACCAGTAGCTGCTGCAGCTGTCAATGTGACAATATCTCCCGGCGACCTCACGCTCACCGCCGACCCCACAACCGATGCCAAATGCTCCCTTTCAGCCCCCAACGCCTCTGCAGCCTCGACACACTGCGCCCGCCACAAGCGTTGCCGCCGACGCCACCGCCATGTCCGTCCTAGCAGCCCTATCATCCTTACCATTCCCCGAAGCCGCTGCCGGTCGCTGCCGCACAGCCGCCACGGCAGCAGCGACTCCGGCAACAGAGACCGGCCGCGTGGAGCTGTGCGTTGTGGGCGCGGGCTTCTTCCTTCTTCTTCTCTCGCCTGTCTTTCAGCCATCGGCCTACTGTCTTCGTGGTGCCCACTCTGTAGTGGGGCTGTTGTTGGGGTTTGGTTGTTCTGCAGTACTGTGTGAAGGGCAGATAGAGGAAACTGTTTATTTTACCGATGGTATTAAAGAGATCACTAGTTTTAATCACAACTGCAAATCATTTAAGATAATTCATTATAAATCTAGCAGTTTAAAATACTTATACATGAATTACATTCAATGCAACGTCACATATTCACAAAATAATAGACAACTATGATTAAAAATACTGATATCTCTATAATTTTTGGACAAATTCACTACAAAGGCTTTGTTTGGCAACCACTCAAAATAGTCGCCAAAACTGAGATTGTCTACAGTGTTTTTGGGTACCAGAGAGAATCTAAAATCCGAGGGGGGTTTACTACAGTAAACACACTGCCAGCGAGCGTCACGCCTTCTACGTGACCTGCCCGCAAAATGACAAAAACACCCTCCGCAAAAGGACAACTCACGAGGGCGGTTTCGTGAACTCGGGCCGAAGCTCTGCGGAGGAATCAAAGCTTCTTCCGCCCTCAAGCAACCAGGACAAAAGCTCACATGGGCATCCTCGGAAGAAAAAGCGAAAAAAAACCCTATTTGCAGCGAGTAGGGGCATTTTGAGAAAAAGAAAGACCGAGGGCATGGAAACTAGAAACAGAAAACGAAGCCCTGAGCAAATGTGAAATGGAAAAAAAAGATGGTCGCTTTTAATTAACACGCCTCCTGAGGATAAAAATGTCAGGGACCCGTCTGTGTTTTTTATTGGGGGAAGAGAAAGGCGTCGAGCTCTCTCAATCTCACTCCTCTCTCTTTTTTCCGTCAGCAGTTGGTCGCTTCGTCTTCAGTGCTTTATAATTATCTTGAGCTCGGTGTTAAATAGGGTAATTAGTGAAGTAATTAACAAAATATTAGAGACCTTATTAATGTCTTCCAACTCTGAAGGAGAAACTGGAGGACTGTCGGAGAGAGAGCTGCCTCCGTTTAATGGGCCGCTGCTGTGTGAGAGGCGGCCTGATGTCAGTGGTGATATTTCCTGAAATTCATTAAGAAAATAGAGAAAAATCAAAAAAAAAAAAAATTGGTGGGGGGGTAATCTTCTTAAATAACCCATGAATTGGACGGTGAAATAAGATTAGAATGAGACAAATATTTAAGTTTGGCCTTTTCTTGTGAAGAAATTACAAAAGTATAAATCGAACCACTGTCTCTTTTGCTACAAAACAAATAGCAAACAAGGAACTTGCCTGGATTTTTAAATTTAATAACAAAGTTTTTTCCGAGATTTCTAACAATCCCACAGTAACCCAAATGATAAAAAAAATCTTTCTTTTTTACGAAAAATACCATGAGCTTATAGACAGTAAGCTATATAGTAAGATTAAGACAATGTTCAAGCTTGGCTTCTTTTTTCTTTTGAGAAATTACAATTATATAAAATAGAAAAACACCGATATTTTCTTCCTAACGAAATTTGGGGGGAAATCTAACATCGAATTTTTAAAAATTTACAATCGTGGGTATTTCCAACTTTTTCCAGCCCAAAAAACCCAAATGGTAATAATCGAAAACAACCCAAAAAAAAAACTCACAGATTGAGACATTATCCTCTCCAAAACCAGCTGAGAGGTGGCAGAAGAAGCAAAAGAAAAATTATTTCGAGCAACAGCGACTGAATCCAGCTCATCAGCCTCCTCCGCTATCGGCTCTGCCACGTCATCATGAGGAGCTGCCAAAGCCTTTGAGACCTCGAGCGCTGACACGCTCCAAGACCGAGAGAGGAACTCCATTGGGTCCGATGGAATCTCAGGCGGCTTCAGATGGCCGCCATTAAAAACTTCACCTTGTTCTCTGAGCTCATCCATTTTAGAGAGAGAAAGAGAGAGGAGAGAGAGCGAGAGTACGAAGTTGTTGAGCTATTTGGGGAACTTTTATAAGAGAGAGAGAGAGGTGAGAGAGAGACAAAGCGTCGGCTTAGAATGTCAGAGAGTGGATGAGAGAGAGAGAGAGAGATGGAGAGAGTGAAGAAGGCAGAGGAATCGGTGGGTCTCTTTTCTCTCTCTAGAAATGATAAAGGACGAAAATGAGGCTGGTTTTTATCGTTAATTACGGTTTTGTCATCGTGAGGGTTGGAATGAAGATCCAAGGCAGGATTTGGGCTTTGCATCGGGACTGTGGAAAGAGGAGAGAGTGGGGGGAAAAAAGTTTGTAGTTTTTGGGATGGGTTTTTGCTTTTTGATTGGGAGTGAGTGATTTCATGATTTTGTTTTAGGGGCCTTTCCCTCAACTCATGATTTTGATTCTGGTTCTTTCTAACATGATAAAAAGTTGGGAAATTTATGTTTCTGGTGGGGTTTTTTTTTTTTTTTTGAAATCTGAATAAGGAATTAGTAATTGGTAAGTGATAACCTTGATGCTACGTAAAAGCAACAGCGCAAGTAAAATAAAGATGTTGAATACATAAATTGAACTTGAACTCGTTTATATTTGATTATTGTCAAGATAGCACAAGTTTATAGTTCTTTTTATGATGAAGCAGGGAGTAAATGGTTAAAAAAATATTTAAAAAAAAAAATATGAAGCAGGGAGTATTGAGATTCAGTTCCTTAATTATTGCATCAACGCATAATTTCATGGTCTCATCATATAAAGATAACTTTGCAACTAATTTTCGATTCATTGTGTCATTTAGCACCAATAAGACCAGATTGATTGACAAGAAGTACGAAATTTTATGAAAAAACAAGTTGGACTCCGGTGTTCTTCACTAGTAAAGAATTGGTGGATGGACTGCTACTAATCACATTAATTGATTATCGAGTAAGTAATTGTATTTTTTAGTCTAAATTAGGAATTCAGCGTAATACAAAATATATGATGAGCGTAAGATTTCAAATATATCATAATATAACGATTATAATTAAAAATTATGATATCTCCACTCATTTTTTTGTACCAGAGAGGATCCAAGTTGAATATCAAAATATATTATCATTTAAGAATAAGAAAGAGAAACATTCTTCGCAACATGTATGGTATCGTGTTAAGGTTTTTCTTTCTAAAATATGATACTACCGGAATTTGAATAATGGGCTTTTACAATGAACCAAGAAACGCTAGTATTGAGAAATAATAAAAAACTGAGAATTAAGTCTTAGAGAAACATTCTTCGCAACATGTATGGTATCGTGTTAAGGTTTTTCTTTCTAAAATATGATACTACCGGAATTTGAATAATGGGCTTTTACAATGAACCAAGAAACGCTAGTATTGAGAAATAATAAAAAACTGAGAATTAAGTCTTAACATTCTTCGCAACATGTATGGTATCGTGTTAAGGTTTTTCTTTCTAAAATATGATACTACCGGAATTTGAATAATGGGCTTTTACAATGAACCAAGAAACGCTAGTATTGAGAAATAATAAAAAACTGAGAATTAAGTCTT